CTCGCGCCACCCCCAGTGGATCCTGGCGCCGGTCCCTACTCACCTTCCTGCCGGCAGTAGGACATGGCACCGGCGCTGCGACCCCCCAGGTGCGACCTAGCGCTCCTTACTCCAGCAGGCGGGCTCTCAGCTGCGCGCACCGCCCTCTCAGGCCTGCCTGTCGCACCCTGCCGGAAACTACGCTTCCCAGCAGGCTGCGCGCTTCTGAGGCGGCTGCTAGCCACAGAAACTACACTTCCCAGGAATCCTGCAGCGCGCAGGCGCACCAAAGAGGGACAGCGCAGGTCGCAAATTTGTTGCAAAAGCACCTAACTCAGTCCAACTACATTTCCCAGCAGGTTATACGGCGCGCAGGGAGTGTTCACTTTGCAACCAGTAGCGCGGAGCCCCTGAGCTCTTAGCAGAGTCCGGTGTTTCTCGGCAGGTTAGTGGCCGACAGGCTGCAAGCTGAGCGGCCAGTCCACTTCCACCGGAGCGGAGCCAAGGGCCGGAGCTGGACCTCAGCATGGCCGCGAACGTAAGTGTTGTGCCTGACGCCCGTCCTGTCCTCAGGGTCCACCAGGATCCGCTAGTCGTCCAGACTCCGGACCTTGGGGCTCGGATACAGGGCGGGACGGGGGATGACTTGGAGCCTGACGGGACCCTCGGGACGGAGCCTGGCAGTCAGGATGAGGAGGTGACCCCGCCCGGAGCTGTGCATTCTCGACTGCCGGGGGGTGTGCGCTCCGGGGGCAGGGAGCCTCCTCCCTTGGTTTGCTAGCCAGGGTCGCGTCCCACTGCCGCCTTCCTGCGCGACGTGGAGAGGCGCCGGCCGATAGGATTCTCAGTTCCGTGGCCTTTTTCCCTGCCCCGGCCTTCCATTTTTCTGAGAGCCCGAAGTGGTGGCGCATGCCTGCAGTCCCAGGAGGTTGAGGCAGGAGGGTCGCTGAGAGTTCGAGCCTAGCCTGGGCTACAGAGTGAGACTGACCCTGTTTAAAAAAAAAGAAAAGAAACTTTCTATTGAGACCCAATATTCATGAACAAGACCGGCAACACCGCTTCGCAGGGCATTGGGTGTGGGAGAAGCTGGTGACTCACCAGCCTCCCCTGAAAGTGCTACTAGAGCCAGCTTGGGAGCTGTCAGCCCCATCCACGCCCTCCTCTTGTTTGGTGCAGTGTCCTGATGTCCTTCCCTAACCCTTACATCCTCTTTCCAGGTCCCTGTGTCCCCGGTGCCTCTGCCCCCCAACCTCTTGAGAGCCAGGGTCTGTGTTACCTGCCTCCCCAGCCAACTCTGCCCTTGAACGCTGCACCTAGAAGGCTTTGGAGGGTGCCCCTGAGACGGCAGTCAGTGGCCCACATCATCACCACCTGTATTCCTCAGGGACCTGGCCAACAACATGGCAGGCAGAGTGCCAGCAAGGGCGGCTTTGGTGTCAGGCAGATACTTATTGTGTGGGGTCAAAGAGGGATTCTCTTGGTTCAGAAACCTGTGGTTTTGGGTATGCCAGGATCTGCTCCCTCAAGGAGGAGTACAACCAGGGTATTTATCCTCTGCTTCTAGGCCTTATTTACTGGTCCTATTGATTGAGCCACCAAGGCAGGTGAGGAAGAAAGACCCAGTGACAATGGGGTAGCACAGGGAGACAGCAGAGCTCAGTAAAACAGCAGCTGTCCTTTGGTGAACATGTTGTTACTACTCCCTGTCCTGGGCGGAAACAGGACCAGAGAGGTGAAGCGACTTACCCAGCCTCACACAGCAATGACTGGCACATCGGGGCTTCCGGCCCAGGTCTGTCCATTTCCAGGCACTCTGTGTTGCACTCTGTTCCCACTCCTCATTGCTCATTGCTTGTTGGCCCGAAGTGCTAGATGGAGGGGTGGGTGTTACCAGGAGATGGATCTGCATTATGAGTTTTCATTCTCCATGATTCTCCAGGACCCTGCGGGTTTACTGGGGATTGAGATGTGAATGTGAGCAGGATGTGCCATGTCACAGCCCACACAGTCCTCACTTCCAGGACATCCTCCTTTCTAGATGCCTGAGCCTGTCCTGGGCGCTGGCTGAGGGGACAGAAGGAGGGTGTGTCTCCTGTCCCTATCCCTGCCTGTGGCTGCTTGAGGCTCAGTAGCTGAGCATGGTGTGGAGCGGAGGTTGGACAGGTGCTTGGCTCTGCCCCAAGGCCGTGCGCCTGATGTGTCATCTGTGACCTGGGATTCCCTGTGCCATGTCTGGGCATGATCACCATCATCATTAGGATGGTCGGATGCCGCCTTAGTGATTCCAGCTGCTGTGGAGAGTCAGTCTACCTCTGCGTGCAGAAGACACCTGCTCCTCTCAGGCTTGGGGTGGTGGGGTTCAGGAACAGCCACGATGTGGCCACTGCTTTTCCCAGAGACTGACTGGAGTCTCCCCTCTGCCTGCCCCTGCCCGCATCAGGGCCGGGTAGGGCCTGGTTCCCCAAACCTTCCATGGCCATTTTGCATCCCTGTGACCTCCAACCTGGCTGACCCCCATGGTGCCCAATGTGCCTCTCACCCAGCTGCCTGGGATTGGCCCCGTGTGCTGACCACCGGTTGGACTGTGAGGAGGCAGAGGGCACGGTAGGTGCAGGTCGTGTGCCAAGGCCATGGCTGCCATGTGCCAGAGCCAGCCTTGTTGATGGCTCTCCACCAGCAGCGACATGCTCCTCACTGGGGACCTATCTACTCCCCGAGCTGCGGTTGAGGCCCTCAGCACATTGTCCAGGCCTAGTCCATGTCAGGTCCACGTCAGGCCTGCCCCCCATCTCCCTAGCCAGGCTCCCTGAGACCTCTCCTTGCTCCCCACCATCACGCACAGGCCCGCTGGGGGTCTGAACCCCCCTGCCCCCCCCAGCGAGTCTGCCTGAGACCCCCACTTGAGGGGACCCCCATGCCCAGCCCACCTCTCATGGATGCCCAGCAAGACCTCTTGGTGTCATCTGTGGTTGTGACTTCTCTGTACAGTGGTTTGGCGGCTTCTTAAAAAGTTGAGCATGTATTTTGCAGCAATCTGACAGTCCTGCTCGTGCCTAGGCATAGTTGTCCCTTGGTGTCCATGGGGCTTATGTTCCAGACAACCAGAGACACTCAGAATCCATCAGACCATGTTGTGCATCTATTCATCGTGCATTTTCACTGTTTGCACTATTGTTTCGCATGTTGAAACAACTAAGGAGTATAACTAAAACATAGTAAAACTCAGCCTGTTCTTATTTTGTGTGTGTGTTGTTTGTTTTTTTGAAACACAGTCTCACCACGTAGTTCAGCTTTCCTCGAACCCAAAATCGAGCCTTCTGGCTCAGCCTCCCAACTCCTGGGATTACAGGTGTATGCCATCATACCTGGCTTAAGCTTTTTTTTTTTTTTTTTTTTTTTTTTTTT